CTGCTCAAAGCGGTCTTGAAAGATTTGCCAGTGATGCCGATATAGTACGCATATCGTAATCAAATGTCAATTTTTTTTTTCCAGCAATTTGGATTTGTCGATGTTCTCACCGGAGGATCGAATTCATTTTTATCTGCAAACAGCGCTAACAATTATTCTACGATTGCAAATAGTAGAGGATTTAACTGCAGAAGACCGCTCGTTAACACAAGCAATAAATCGGCAAAAGCTAAACAAAATTTTGACGATGTGTCTCATGGCGATCGAAATCTATCCGGAAAACATCTTTGCTAAGTATTTTCTTTTCTGTCCAAAAAGGTACTCAAATTCAGTTCAGCGCTAGTGCAGTAGCAGTTGGTACATTGCAACAGGAGCCCAGCGTTGCCAAAAACAATAACAGTTACAGTCTCTGCAGAAAACGTCATTATTTCAGCATTCTTTCAAAAGTAGCCACTGTAGAGTTGGCACGCATGGATGGTAATTCCGAAAAATACACAGGAGCGCTTGGAAAGCTGCAAGAGTACGCTTATAAATGGATGGAAAGAGTTAAAAATGAGAAACTTTTCGCATTCGCCGCCTGGGGTTACCTCTGCGTAAGTTCTACCACTGAGCAGTCATTACAAACTCTGATCGCCAATGAGCTACACGCCAGTTATTGCTAGTGCATTGCGCATGAACGGTTTTTGTAGGGCTGCCGGCGCGCAATATCAGCACTGTTTCACGCTACGCTGAAATACTTGTTTACACTGAGCCCTGGCAGTCACAGCCTAATACAGTTCATTGAATAACCTATATGACCTTAAAACAGTAGCATAAGAGCTCCAAATCGAAGCAGAAAAGAAATAGGGTGGGCGCCAGGTGGGGGAATGGGTCCAGGAAGAGGATAATTGCGAACAGGGGAATTTTCAACTTTTCTTTTAGTTGAATGTTAATTCACTTGCATTTAGAGATGTAAAATAGATTGATTGGGACATTGAGTGTTTGCTTTCAACTGGGCCCATTGCGGAGCAGTGAAGTTAAAAACCCAGGCTGGAACGCACCAGGCGGGCCGGTGCGATTATGCGTTTTTGCACTTCTCGTGC